TACATTATGTCACAGTGGACGATGCCATTGAGCTTCTGCAACGTCAAGGTACCGGTGCCTTGATGGCGAAGCTCGACATACGCAATGCATTTCGACTGGTCCCTGTCGCACCCACTGCATACCATTTGTTGGGTTTCCAGTGGCAGGGCCAATTCTACTATGACAAAGTACTGCCATTCGGGCTGAGGTCCGCACCCTACTTGTTTAACTGCATTGCGGACGCACTTTGCCAGATAAGCTGTGAACTGTTCCAGGTTCTCCACCTCCTGCACCTTCTGGACGACTTCTGGCTCTGTGGCCCTGCAAACTCAACGCTATGTGCGCAGCGTCTGAACGTAGTCCTCTCCGTATTCCGCTACCTGGGAGTTCCCATTGCCGACGAAAAGACAGTCGGCCCAACCTCCTGTCTCACCTTCCTGGGCATCGAACTGGACTCCGTCCAGAAAGTGGCTCGTCTTCCACAGGACAAGGTTGACGACATCCGCTCCAGACTATTGGCCTTTCGCCAACGCCAATCCTGCCGTCTACGGGAGCTTGAACAGCTGTTGGGGAAGCTGAACTTTGCCAGCCGCGTCATCACGCCGGGCCGTACATTCATGCGCCGACTGTATGATGCCACGCGCAACGTTTTCAAGCCCTACCACCGCATCCGTCTCTCTCCAGAATGTCATCTGGACCTTCTTTGGTGGTCTCACCTACTCGATGGCTGGAATGGCAAGTCATTCTTCCTCGATCTCCAGGAGACGCTGGCCAACGACATCCTGATAGAAACTGACGCATCTGGCGCCATTGGGCATGGCACAGTTTACGGCCCGCATTGGTTCGCCGACACCTGGTCACCACAACACACTCCGCTCTGCATTACGTTCAAGGAGCTGTATCCCATCTGCATTGCATGTGCTACGTGGGGCCACCAGTGGTGTCGCAAGCGTATCCGCTTCCATACCGACAACGAAGCTGTCGCCGCTGTTCTCAAGTCTGGCACCAGTCGCTGCCCTAATGTGATGTCACTCCTACGGCAGCTCTTCTTCATCTGCGCCAAGGGTAACTTTATGGTCACCGCCCGTCACAAACCTGGAACTACCAACATCCTTGCTGACGCTCTCTCCAGGCAAGATTTCAAGCGATTCCATTCGTGCCACCCTACCGCCGCTCACATGCCCACTCCCGTGCGTGCTCTTCCGTCCATTCCTGGGGAGACTTCGGCCGTGCCTTGCACTGCCGAGTGACGGAAGTCCACATGCAAACTGCCATGAAAGCTGGCAGCAACGGTCCTGGGTAAGCGCTGATCAGATAGACTGAGCCCACTTATTTTGGGTGCAAGAGCATAACCGAATGTCACCAATGTACCGACTGTACACTCAGTAACTCAAAATCACTCTACTATTGTCCACAATCTGTAGCACCCCCTCTACAGTTAACAGTGAATAGGAGGTTCTCTATTTGGGGAGTCAACCTTGCTTACCAGGCTCCTCATACGGCTCATTCAGCCTCTCACACTCAGACGGCTCACTCAGCCTCTCAATACGGCTCACTCAGCCTCCGCAGCCGGGCCCTGCCCGGCTGCCTCCATACGGCTCACTCAGCCTCCGCAGCAGGGCCCTGCCCAGCTGCCATACACACACATTCACACAGCTCTAAACTGTCACTCACTCGGAGCCTGGCAAAGCAATTGACAAACCCTCCTATTCCCCAAACTGGTTGCTCGTTGTGTGAGTGCGGCATGCAGATGCTTGTGTTAATAGTACATTCTACAAACACATAGCGCCAACAAACTGCTATGCCCTATGAGTGATGTCCATGGACTGTGTTGCTACTTCTACCCATGACGTGTTTGTATGACTCTTTGCTTCTAACAAAACATGTGGAGTGCCATACAAATCATGTGCTGAGCTGAGTCTGCTGAGGTCTGACGTACTGCTGCACGGCAATGGAAGGGAAGCGGAGTTGCCCTTACTGGCCATAGACCGGGACTTCTTTTTTACTCTCTTTCTCACTCCTGTGTGCAGCCGCACCATACGTGCCCCCACCCCTAACACACCTCAGTCACATGCACACCCACATACACACGCACACAGGAACAACAAACAGCCTCTGCGGGGACAGCAGCAACAGCAAGAAGAAAAACACTTGCAAAGCAAGAAGAAAAAGAATGCCGCAGCCGAAGCGCATGCTCCTAATATCTCGCATTTGCGAGCAGCAAATGTTACGTCATGCAAAAGAAAGACAAAAAAGAACTACATTTCTCGTTTCTTTCCTACGTGAGGCATTATAGATTTCATTGCAAAATGGCCAATCACCAGACAAAAATATTCAAGCGCAGTAGCACAATACCTACATGTATATTATGTACATGTAATACCTGCCTGCTCTGAACAACGTTTACCACAGTGTGCCGCATGTGCAGAGTTGCACATGTGATCAGCAGTCCGCCTATTACGGTCTCTCTCTCGAACCAGCTGCGAACCACGATCGAAATGTTTGATGGGGGTGCTTTGGCACCCAAAGCACCCCCCTCTCCCCCCTGCCGACGCCCCTGTGTAATGATGCATACCATACCGCGCATGTACAGTCAACTTGGCTAATAACGACTGCGGATATAACGACAATTTGCGAATAACAACAGAATTTTCATGCCCAGAGCAAAGTCCCATCCAACTGTGACACATAATTATAATGAGACTTCGGGTATAACGACACTTCGCGAATAAGGACACTTTTCTGATGCCCCGCCGAGTGTCGTTATAAGCAAAGTTGACTGTACAGTGTACAGTGCATGATGTACCACTGCTACAGCTAGACCAGGTAGGCGTTGAGACACACTTCACTGCACACGTCACGGCAGAGTAGACAGGGTCAGGGACACATACTCTAGACTGTACTCCCAGAAACGACTTGTAGGTGTGATTTGGTTCGTTATAAACGAAAACTGTTCGCTACAAATGGTCAATTTCGTATGGGTTCAAACAGGGACATGGACAAGGGTTCGCTATATGCGCATTCGTCATAACTGAAGTCGACTGTACTGTATATGTGCGCATAGCATAGTGTTTATTATGAGTGGTATTATCTGCATTTGGGGGGGGGGGGGGCGTTTCTGGGGGTGGGAGGGTGGGTCAAGAAAGAAAGCTGTTAGACGTCTCTAAGTAAATACATGTATTTACTTAGAGACCCATTACAGTATGTGTACTTTTATATAGTAAAGAAAAAAAGGAGCAAGAAACTACAAGTTGCAGTACGCTATTATGTCCACTAACACCACCAGTTACTAAACAATCAGCTCATGCGATACACGACATTGACCGACGGTACTGACGTTCTACAAGTAACTGGCTAACAGCTCTAGCACATCTTGGATGCGCACTCCAACAGCCTTCCAACTTGGAAGGTTCGCTTTGCGTCCTATAATCGTGGTTTGACCGTATTGTCCAGTGGTCTTGACAGTATCGTCATCGACATGCATGAACATCCGCCAACGTCCTTCACAGCTGAGAATATCAGCTCGTGCTTATCTTGGTTGCGCTCACCTTCCCTTCCTCGTGTTATTTCTACAACTTAGAACCTTCCAAGTTGGAAGGCTGTTGGAGTGCGCATCCAAGATGTGCTAGACCTGTTAGCCAGTTACTTGTAGAACGTCAGTATTGTTAGGAAATTTGGGGCCCTCTTTTCTCTCCGAAACTCAACACTTGCAAGCCAGATATGAAAGAAAGAAAAAATCATCAGTCACACCACCGGGACTCGAACCAGGGACCTTGCTATTCGCGAGCAATGTTCTAACCAACTGAGCTACAGTATGACTATTGTCCATAGTGATGGTAAATCTATCCTTCTTCGATCAATCAATATCTGGCTTCCATCATACTGGCAACTCACACCAATCAAGAGGGCCCTCGGCCATTCGCTTGATATCATGGGGAGCGCATCAAACTATGTCCACTGCGAGCAAATACAAATTGCAATTTCAAATACTTTGAAAATTCTCCGTGAAGTCCAAATTTGAAATTGCAATTTGCATTTGCTCGCAGTGGACATAGTTTGATGCGCTCCCCATGATATCACGCGAATGGCCGAGGGCCCTCTTGATTGGTGTGAGTTGCCAGTATGATGCAAGCCAGATATTGATTGATCAAAGGATAGATTTACCATCACTGTGGATAAGAGTCATACTGTAGCTCAGTTGGTTTGAGCATTGCTCGCGAATAGCAAGGTCCCTGGTTCGAGTCCCGGTGGTGTGACTGATGATTTTTTCTTTCTTTCATATCTGGCTTGCAAGTGTTGAGTTTCGGAGAGAAAAGAGCAGTACGTGGCATGTGGCCTCAAATTTCCGAACGTCAGTATTGTTGTTCAGTTTTGTGCAATGTTCTCGCACGAGCTGATTGTTTAGTAACTGGTGGTGTTAGTGGACATTATAGCGTAACTTGTAGTTTCTTGCTCCTTTTTTTTTTACTTTAGCCCCCGTCCCTCACACAAACAAGTCAACAAAGCGGCATCTTTGGATTGAGGGGTGCTGGTTTCGAAACAACTGGTTTGAAGCTCAAAGTAGAGCTGCTGTTAGCTCAAAGTAGAGCTGCTATTAGCTCAAGGTAGAGCTGCGGTTAGCTCAAAGTAGAGCTGCGGTTAGCTCAAAGTAGAGCTGCGGTTAGCGCAAAGTAGAGCTGCGGTTAGCTCAAAGTAGAGCTGCGGTTAGCTCAAAGTAGAGCTGCTGTTAACTCAAAGTAGAGCCGCTGTTAGCTCAAAGTAGAGCCGCTGTTAGCTCAAAGTAGAGCTGCTGTTAGCTCAACGTAGAGCTGCAATGCTAATTGGATGTAATATAGCTCAAGGCAGAGCTGCAGCAAATAGCTAGAAAACACCAGTTGTGAGAGTGGACCCATGAAACCAGCACCCCGTTAACTAAGTAGTCTACTATTGACGCACAGCAAAGGTCAATTAATGTCAGCACAGGCAAGTATTGGGCGACTAGAGTTCACTACATGAAGCTCATTACTCACGCCAGTCAGACATCATGGCATCCGTGACACGGCAGCAAGCCGGGACGATAGCTGGCGTTTAGCCCTCGCTGTAGTCCGGATGTAGCGTAGACATGCATCACTCTTCCATCGACCTGCCGCTCGGATGAGGGAGTCGGGGACACCGGCCATAGCAGCGGTGGTGGCTGCGCCGATGCGGAATGAACGCCCGGAGTAGTGCGACTGGGATGGTACCCCGGCCGTGGCAACAAGAGACCGTACTGTTGCTGTGAATGACTGTCGGGTCAGCTGCTGTCCGTTCGAGAGTATGAACAAGCGTTGCTCGGTTCCTTGGCGACGAGTGGCAAACAGGTAGCTAACCATGGCATGGACTGGGAAGTACGGCGGTACGGATGGGCCAATATCAATAGTGACGCCTTTGCCGAATGGGCCCGTCTTGGACGAACGCAGGAAAAGCTGTAGGCATCCGTCACCAGGGAAGCTGATGCAGCCCCGTGTGACGCCATTAGTGAATTCAGCACACCGGAGAAATCCAAAGAACACTAGCAGCATGGCGGCTTGGTAGAGCAGCTTGTCATGGCCATTGAGGGTACTACTTTTCCGGCATGCGTCTATCAGGTGTCGTAGGATTGGCATAGTGATAGGAAGGCGAGGGGTTAGTACAGCCGTACCATGGCATCGCTGGATGCCCTTTATCACCCTCTTCAGAAGCCATGCATCTACTAAGGGGTCAGCAAACCTGTTCTCGAGATGGGCTTTACGCACCGCACTCACATACACAGATACAGTTCCAGGTCTTACAGTTCGTGTGAGGAACGACGCGAAACAGCACAGCATAACGTCGGTAGCAGGATAGGGTGACCAGTGTTGCAGGCGGCAGACATCATAGTAGCGGTCTTCACCGGTGGTGTAAGTGCGGCGGGTGTTCCTTGACACGGCACAAGCAGCATATTGGCAGACAGTGGCTAGCATTGCTGAGGCAGGCGGGCAATGTCCGGAGCCGCCTTGGCGTTTGGGGCGTGGCGTCTGAATGCCTGCATGAAGGAGCGAGACAGACAATCAGCAATAACATTGTGATGGCCAGCAATGTGAACGGCAGAGACAGCAAAATTGCACAGTGCACTCACAAAAAATAGTTCACGCAGCAAAGGCATGACAGGAGGAGATTTGCAGCAGCCAGATCGAATGCAATTGACAACAGCCGAATTGTCACAGTGGAAGAGGATGCTGAGCTTGGACCACTCGCAGCCCCAGGTACTGCACGCTACCAAGATGGCATACAACTCTTTCCACTCTAAGTTATGCTGCGCTCGGCATCTTTCTCGGACCAGGTGCCACAAATCCATCGACCGTGGTTGTAGGCCCCCCCAGCCGACCGAGCCGCTCGCATCGGTAAATAGCTGCATGTCAGGAGATGGCGTCCACTGCGGATGGAGGAAGAAGGACTTCCCATTCCAGTCCTGCAGCAGGCGCAGCCACCAAGTCAGATCGTCGATGCACTCGTTGCTTAGCTTGATACGATAATGGGGCTCCCGGTGTCGGCTACACACGGACCATAGTCGACGCATGAATGTGCGTCCCGGAACGATGACTCGGGCAGCAAAAGCGAGCTTCCCCAGGAGGGACTCGAGTTGACGCTGGCCGATGCTGCGCTCGCTAACAGTGGCCATGAGTAGCGTACTGATCTCGGAGAGCTTGTCCTCTTGTAGCCGGGCTTCACGGCGCTCACAGTCTAACACAATACCAAGGAAGGTAGCATACTTGGCCCCACGCTCTTCCTCCTTTACGTCTGTGACATCGACCAGTGTCTAACACAAGGCACTAAGCTGAGCATGTACGCCGATAATACTACACTGTAGCATCTCGTGCTACCAACTGACGACCCTGCAAACCCCCCAGACACAGGCTCCAGGGGGCCCTCGACCGCCTCTACCTGTGGGGAGAATCGTGGCGCATCCGCTTCGAGCCACAGAAATCGCAGCAACTGGTGATCAGCACGAGATCAGAAACCCCAGCGCTGGACCCTGTAATGTTTGGAGGTACCCCAGTTGCAAAGACGGAGACCCTTAAACTCCTGGGAGTCTCATTTGATGCCAAGTTGTCATTCCGCAACCACCTCCACAATGTCGCAGTCCGTGAAAGCCAACGACTGGGATTTGTCCGACGAGCTGCACACGTCCTGCCTCGGGGCGGCCGCCTGGCAATGTACAAAGGTTTCGTACGCCCAGTCCTGGAGTATGCCCCATTGGTCTGGATGGGCGCCTGCCAGACCCATCTCGATCACCTAGATCGAGTCCAGAGGAGGGCTCTGGACATCATCGGCCCAGGCACCCTCCTGGACTACCTCAGTCTACGCCGCTCGGTTGCTGGCCTCACGTACCTGTACAAGCTACGCTCCACTGATGGCCCAGCGCAACTCACCGCAATGCTTCCACCTCCGGAACCGCCACGGCCTCACCCCAAGACTAGACGGCAGCTCGACGCCAGCCACCACCCTGCCTACCTGAAGCTTGACCTCTCACACAGTGCCCCTAACTACATCCGCCGGTCATTTCCCTTCTGCCTCGTGGAAGTGTGGAACAGCTTTCCAGCAGAGATGCTCGCCAACCTCCAGGTTAAGAAAATGCAGACGTTCAAAGTGAATGTTCACAGGCACTTGCGCCACAAGCACTGGCTTTGGGCAACGGACAACAACTAGCGCCACCGATAATTCTCTCTCTCTTTCTCTCTCTCTCTCTCTCTCTTTCTCTTTCTCTCTCTCTCTCTCTCTCTCTCTCTCTCTCTCTTTCTCTCTCTCTCTCTCTCTCTCTCTCTGTCTGCCAGGGACCTACGTAAGCTGAAGCATGATCAACCTATATTATTTGCATTTGTTTTTTTCTGATCTTCTCTTTCTCATTTCTGTTGCATTCTCAGATGCTCCCATAAGTCTATCATTCATAGTATACCCCCTTGGCCCGCACAGTCCATGTCGATTAAAATTCATTAAAATTGTCGCTTCCCAGAGCAATTTTTCGAATTTATTTTTTCCACTCGAAGGGTAAAGAAATGAGCTAGATATTGAGGTAGATTTTTTTATTTATTTATTTTTATTGTCGATGGACCAGGCTTTAGTTTGTGGCCTCCCGCTTCGCTGAACTTGCAGCTAAGGTCGACGTCTTCATCAGAGTTTGAGGCAGACCCTTCAGCACTCAACAATACGTTGAACAAGATGCGCGTTCAAATCCAGGTCACTGAGAAGCTTCATTTTCGAGCGATCCATGCCTCCAGGTGGCAGGCGATGAAGGCAAGCTAGCATTTTTCAAGTACACTGTAACGACCTTCCAGCGGGATAGTGTAAGCAGATGCGCACCTTCTTTCCTTGGCAAGCGCTTCGCTGATTTTGTCCGTGTTTTCAGACCTGCTACCTTCGCAGCAACATACACCACAAGTAGCGCATTTTAGGAATTTGTGAACACGTTATTCTTGCCATCGTCAACTTCAGCATTTCGTATTCAGGAGAGATGCCAGGATTCTTATACCCGAGCTTGCAGTCATGATAAATGCCCACGCGAACGAGGTGGGACGGCACAAACTCCAGAAGAACGATATGCGCTCTGGGGCGGAATAGTGCGGAACGCGATGAATTTGCTTGGTGCGGAAGAGAGCTTCGACATAGTCCGAGACCACCACGGCTTCAGTAACAAGTAGACATTGCGCAGGAAGGATGGCACCAATGTTCGAACACAGAAAACAGCGACTCCGACAGTCTGACTAAGATGAGCCAAGTCACAAACATTGCGATGTGCGAAGCGACAATTTTAATGACGCGGAGGAAGTATAATAAAAAATAATAAGGTCAATGATGGTGATGGCCCTTCGAGCTTGGATGGAGCCAGGAGAATGCCGAGATACGTGAATGCCTCAGAAGGATGGCCAGTTGCTGGTTGGCTGCAACCAAACCAGTGGAGATATTGAGAAAGTCGTCGAGGTAATGAAGCAGGTGTTCTATAGCAAACTCGTGCTGCATGATCCAGTTGACTGCTGTGGCTACTGAGTCAAAGATGGCTGGGCTGGAGCGTAGGCCGAAAGGCAGAACACGCTCGTAGTAGTAGGAGCCTTCCCAGCGAATACCAAGTAAGTGAAAGTCCTGATGGCGGACAGGGATCTGCCGAAATGCACTGCGAACATCGAGCTGGGACAAATACACAGGCTGTGGGCATGACATGATGATGTTGATCGCGTCGTCAATGCTCACGTAGTGCAGAGAGAACGGCTCGGCGGGAATGCTGTCGTTCACACTGGCGCCTGCTGGACTAGACAGATGGTGGATCATGCGCAGCTTGCCGTTCTTTTTGGGGACGGCACCGATGCCAGAGCAGCGCATGAACTGAAATGGCGGCGAGGGAAATGGGCCTGCGGTCTCGCCGCGTGCGCAGGAAGCAGCTAATTGCTCGGAGATGAATGCAGCGTGAGTGTAAGGCGAGGGCAGATTATTAGAGAAAACAGAAATGTCATGTTGGCCGGCAAAACCAAGAGCAAAGCCATAGCGCAGGCCGTGGAGAACATATGAAACAATGGATTGATCTGGGTGGTGACGCAACAGGCGGGCAAAGTGATCAGCTAGCAGTGGGGTGTATGCAGAGTGTATGGGGAAGAAGCTATGTACAGCGTCAGGCAATTCAGTAGCGGCCATTCTACTGGGAGCGGCGGGGTGGCCGATAGGCTCCGCGCTGCTGCTGATTGCACTTGGTGTCTTTGTGATCCTTGCCACACTGGCTTCAAGTATGGCAGAATCGGCACGACGATGGCGAAGAGCAGCGGCCTCCGTTGAAATTGCGGCAGATTTTCTGCCCGTCATTGGTGTGTGTGCGACCACTGGAGGTGAATGCTGCTGGCTTGGGGAAATGGGTAGTGTTGAAACGATCTCACCGGATACTCGTTAGCTCGCTCGCCAGAAACTCGGCTCGTTTGTGCGGCCAGCTCGTTTGCGCTAACGAACACCGTACACCGTACTCCGTACACATGGCAGTACATGTCGACCGGGGAGTCGTAAAATATTTTACGACTCCCTGGTCGATCGATCTAGAGTCCAGTCCCGATCCCGCGCAAAGTGAAAATCACTCACAGTTACAGGTGACTGTATGCCTGCACGACACTTGAGTTGTTTCAGTTGTCGTTGCAGCTTTGGTGGACTCTACTGATGTCTTGTTCCGCATCTGCTGACCTGTCGAAGGATATGCTTCGGTCACCTCTCCATTCGAGTGAAAGTTACGCTCAGTCGTTTGGAAGTTTTCTCCCGCGATGCACCGAAGACCAGGGCTACTTGCAATCTTTGCAAAACGGTCTATTCTTACAAAGGCTAATCGACGACGGCGCTGAAAAGACATCTCGACACCAAACAGCAGTCCGAAGTGAAGCAGCAGCAACCCCAAATGCCGGCGGTGATAATTTGAACCAGCTGAAAAAAATCGAACTTAGAAAAAAAAAACTCAAAAAAATAATCATAATTATTTGCCACATCAATGAAACTCGTTAGCTCGCTCGATAGCTTGCTCGTTAGTGGAACTGATCGCTCGCTTGTTATAGATACGCTCGTTTCAACACTAGAAATGGGCTTGGGGACGAAAAGGACACAAACCCGCCCCTGGGTGAACAGTCTCACATTGGGCGCATGTTGGGCGCGCATGCCCTGTGAATGCTATCTGCCACAGGTTTACGTAGATGGAGTCCAACCTCTTCGTCCCCGGTTGCTGGGCCGTGAGCATCCGCAGCTGGCGGTCGTACTCCAGCCACGCGCTTGGAAAAAACTGGCGGCTAGCAGTCAGGATCAACTGCTGGTACGCAATCAGTTCGGCGGTACGGTGCGGGACAGCAGCCGTGACAACAGCCATGTAAGTTGTCCATGGTTCGAGCCATGTAGCTATGTTGTGGACCTTGCGACGTACCTCATACTGGCCAACCCTCCCGTTTTTCCCGGGAAAATCCCGGAAAATCAACACTCCTCCCGGCGTCCCGGGGATTTCAAGCAAACTCCCGGAAAAACCAAAGTTTTGTCTGATACAGGATTTTCCTGAAAACTCCATGGTTTCTTCCCGAATGTCCCGTTTTTTGAAATTTTTCAAAGGTATGTACGGTGCTCATTCGCACTTTGAACTGTGCACAGCACTTTGAAGACCTGACCATGCAAGATCTGCACTGACAAAGTGACAGGCGGGCGCCGACTGATCACACTGCACTACAGCCTAGTACAGGGTCGATCTGTGCTGTACGCACAGCTGCAGAGTCGAACGTTTTTTTGGCGGGAAAAGCTCTTTTTCACTTGTTTTTGTGCCATCCAGGGATTTTGAGAGAAATCTAGGGATTCTGCATGTCTTGTCAAGGGATTGAGATTGTGGTGGTTGGTCAGTATGGTGCCTGCTTCGCATCATCCAACTCGACAATGTTTAGTTGGCTGTCGTTATTCGGGCTGTGCACCAGCCGGAATGTTCGGCCGGAAGTGTGAATGGGGGGGGGGGGGGGGGGTGCGAGAATCTCAGGCAACAAACTTGAAAGATCGACAAACTCACCTCGCAAGATACAATCCTGCACAGCCTTGGGCACAGCTGGTGCTGGTGGCTGGACGGGTGGATTGCAAGAGCCTGGGCCTTGGGCTAGCGTTGTGGCGGCAGCAGCCGTATTGCCTTGACCTTGAGTTAGGAGCGGCACGATGCTCTCTGTAATGGCGGCCGACAAAGCCGACTGCACCTCGTCCCGCACGAGAGCGCGGAGATCCATTGCGCCCACGTCGCCTGAGCTGGTGGAGGAGGCATTGGTGCCGGTCGGGCTCCTGGGCTCACGAGCCGTGTCCGCAATGTCGTGTTGCTGTTTTTCCAGGCCGGAGCAGACCTGACTTCCAAGGGCTAGCGTTGCAAGCAAACGGTCTTGTGAAATACTTTTATTTCCTTTCGGGTTAAAGCCGCGCTGGGAAAGCTCGCCGCGGAGGGCTTGGCAAGTCATTGCCTTCACAGTGTCGACAGTTAGGTCGGACATGCTGAATAAATACAGTATCGAGATGACACTCGGGAAAAGGAGCGCTGAAAAGCAACACTGCGGAAGCACGATCTGCTGTCTGGAGGAACACAACCGGGCAAGCAAGATTTGTTTTCTTTTCAGCAAAACGGGCTGGTGCCATCTGTGATTACGCAGCGAAGCAAAGCGCATGACGTCAGTCTTGCAGGCAGCACAGAGTAATGCAGCGCGGTGTATGCGCTAGTTCGGATTGTTGCTAACGAGTACTAGCACAGCTAGTACCCCAATAAATTTATCCTTGGCTCTCCATCCGAGTCCGTACTTCTATATCTTCAGGTTATAAAATTGCAATTATACCTTGTACTTGAGAGAATTGAGACTGCTGCTATGTAAGGCTGGCGACGATGTGGTCTGTCCTCCTCCACCGTCCACGAATCTGACAGGGTCACTCTTCTGGCCGAAGTTCCCTTGTCTGTGACTTTCACAGTGACAACTGCCAACAGCGGCGCCTTATCCGAATAGATCAGTCCTTTGGGCAAAGTCCTCTGATGAGTGAGTTCCATACTCCCGACCTCACCTGACATCAATTCCGTCTGCTCTAGCAGTCACTGCCATCCAAACAAATCTCTCCACGATTGAGAGTCTTGCGATGTGTGGTGCGTCGACTACTGCATACATTTGGAAATCACACTGACTGTCCGTGATATCCTC